AAGGCAACTCAAACTTTTAATTTTCCATTCTAAAAACTAATGCTACTTCCCTTATTTATAAAAAAATAATAATGAATAGGACTTGCACTTATAACTTTAAGAGATTGTTTGTCCCACGCTCTATTAATTGAATGAAGTAAATCCTCAACCACTTTTTATTTTTATAATTTTATTTTATTAGAATAAAAAAAACTAAAAATAAATCTTTAAAGAAAAAAATTATGGTCAATATTTATTAAAAATACTTCCAATAATTAATTATTTTTTAACCTAATTCCATTATTTTATTTATATTGTTAAAATTAATTTTTTAAAATATATATAAAATATAATATTTATTATATTTATAATTAAATATTTTTTATTTTATCATTTATAAAAATAAATAAATTATAAATAGGTAAATACTAAATTTATATTAATATTATATTATATGAATTATTATTTATAAAATATTAAATAAATAGTAATTAAATATTAAATTATATTTTTAAATATTTCGTTAATTTGAGTTGAAATAAAATCTAATGATGATCCTTTATATAGACCTAAATTTAAATTATATAACAATTCATCTAATTTTTTATTTAATATAGCTAATTGAGCATCATTTAAAGAGCTATTATCTTCTAAAAACATTTGAAATTTTGCTTTTATAATAATTTTTAAATCAATTAAAGATAAATTTTCATAACCTGAATCAATACCAGGATTATTATTACTATTATTAAAAAAATAATATAAAAAAATTAATATTGATATAACTATTATTAAATCAAATAAAATATAGTAATAATTGGAATAAATATTTAAAAAATCTATAAATGAATTTTCATTTAAATTAATTTGTTGTTCTAAAATATCTTTTTTTATAAAATTTTTGTCAAAACTTACTATTTGTTTTAATTTTATTTCTTTGTTAAATAATACAATATCTTTATTAAATATTCTAAAATATAAAAGATAAATCATATTATAAATTTTTATTAAAATTATATAAAACATGTTTTTTTATTAGGATATATATATTATTAATATAATAATATATATATTTTTTTTTATTATATTATTTATAAAATTTTTTAATAATTTCAAAAACTTCTGAATAATTTTTATTTTGATTCTTTTTTTTAAGACATAAAGCTATATTTATTTTATAATCAATATAATTATTAAAAGATTTTTCAATATATTTAAATTTTTTTTTCAATTTTGAATGACTCATTTTTTGAAGATAAGGCGTATTAATTTTTAAATTAATTTTTTTTAGACAATCATTTATATCAAATAACCAAGAATCTTCTTGAATTTGTTTTTTTTTATAATCCTTTTTTATAATATCTTTTATTTTCCGTAATCTTCGAATTATTGCATACTCTGACTGCAACACTTGGTACAATTTTATATAATTATAATAAAAAACGATTACATTTGGATTAACTTTATCATTTAAAAAATTAAAAATAGTTACATCTTTCGAATCCATATTAGCTAATATTTGAGTTAATACAGTTGTTCCTTCAAAATTTCCGCCCAAGGTACCAAAGAAAGAAAGTGAATTTTGATGGTGTGCAATCAAAGAACTGCCATTTAAAAAAAAAAAATTGGCTAGGGGCTTAAAACCCACTAATAGATCAAATGCAAAACGGCTCTTATACAAAATTCCTCTTATTTCAGGGCCGTGTAATGTTTCATAAAGGATAATATTTCTATTAAAAAAAATGATAAAATCGCGCGCGTAGGTATCCGGCAGCCTTGAAATTTCGTTTACACCTCTATGCGCAATAATTTCCACAAATCCATAGAAATCCAAAAATTTCCTATATTCGACAAAGTACGTAACGTTGTTGGCTAAAAAATTAATTTGATCATTTGTTAAATGTAATAAGTAATCTGGTGAAAATAAGGTTTCCATGTATGTTATAATAATAATTTATATTTTATTATATAAATTTCGAGAAAAAAATATATATATATACAAAAAATATATATATATCTAACTTTTATATTTTTTATCAAAATACTCAAAAAAAATTGTAAATATTTACAATTTTTTATTAATTATAATATTTTTTAATATTATATCTTAATTTATTTTTTTTTTATTTATTTAAAAAATTAAATAATTATATAAATAAAAATAACTAGTAATAAATAATAAACTTTTTAATTATTTATATATTGATTTGTAAATTCAATTGCTAAATCTTTTAATTGATTTTCTAATTTTTTACTAATAATTTTTTTAGTAGAAATTTCAGTTAAAATATTATTATGTTTAGTTTTTATAAATTGTAACCAAGATTCTTCGAACTCAGCTATTTTTCTAACTTCAATTTTATCTAAAAAACCTCTAACTCCTAAGAAAATAATAACAATTTGATCTTCAACATTTAAAGGAACATTTAAACCTTGTTTTAACATTTCAGTTAATCTTACACCTCTATGTAATTGTTGTTGAGTTGCAGCATCTAAATCAGAACCAAATTGAGAGAAAGCTTGTACTTCTCGAAATTGTGCTAATTCTAATTTCATTGAACCAGCAATTTGTTTCATAGCTTTAATTTGAGCCGAAGAACCTACACGACTTACTGATAACCCTACACTAATTGCAGGTCTTTGTCCTTGATTAAATAATTCTGTTTCTAAAAATATTTGACCATCAGTAATTGAAATAACATTTGTTGGAATATATGCAGATACGTCACCAGCTTGTGTTTCAATAACTGGTAATGCAGTTAATGAACCTCCACCAATTTTTACATTCATTTTAGCAGCTCTTTCTAATAATCTAGAGTGTAAATAAAAAACATCACCAGGATAAGCTTCTCTACCTGGAGGTCTTCTTAATAATAAAGACATTTGGCGATAAGCTACAGCTTGTTTAGATAAATCATCATAAAAAATAACTGCATGTTGACCATTATCTCTAAAATATTCTCCTAAAGTACATCCAGTATAAGGTGCTAAAAATTGTAAAGGAGCTGAATCAGAAGCAGTTGCAGCTACAACTATAGAAAAAAATAAAGCGTTTTTTTCTTCTAAAGTTTTAGTTAAATCAGCAACAGTAGATCTTTTTTGACCAACAGCAACATAAATACAATATAATTGATTATTTTTATCACCTGTTTGATGAGCATTTACTTGATTAATGATAGTATCTATAGCAATAGAGGTTTTTCCTGTTTGTCTATCACCAATTATTAATTCTCTTTGACCTCTACCAATAGGAATTAAACTATCAACAGCTTTTAAACCTGTTTGAACAGGCTCACTAACAGATTGTCTTGGCATAATACCAGGAGCTTTAATTTCAACTCTACTTAATTTATCAGATTTAATTTGACCTTTTCCATCAATAGGTTGTCCTAAAGCATCAACAACACGTCCTAATAAACCTTCACCAATAGGAACACTTACAATTGAACCTGTTCTTTTTACAAAATTACCTTCTTGAATTTCTCTTTCATTACTAAAAACAACAACACCTACAACATCCGGTTCTAAATTTAAAGCCATTCCTTTAATATTACCTTTATTAAATTCAACCATTTCACCAGCTTGTATTTTTGTTAACCCATAACAACGTGCTATACCATCACTCATAGATAAAACTATACCAGTTTCTTCTAATTTTTTTTCACTTTTAAAATTTTTAATATTAGATTCAAGTATATAGGATAATTCAATAGCCATTTAAATTAAATTATTAATTTTAAATAAACTTATTAAATTATTTATTATTTTTTTATATTATTTAATTTAAATAATATAAAAAAATAAAACTCTTCAGATAGGACTTGAACCTATAACTTTAGAGTTAACAGCTCTACACTCTAACCAATTGAGTTACTGAAGATTTTGAAGAAAATAGGATTCGAACCTATGATAGAATATTCTAATAGATTTACAGTCTACCGCCTTAAACCACTCAGCCATTTCTTCTTTTAAAAGATTATAATAATATATTTATTATATATATTAATAAGCGAAAAACGGGATTCGAACCCGCGACCTTAATCTTGGCAAGATTATACTCTACCAATTGAGTTATTTTCGCTAATTATTTTTTATTGGAATATTTAATTGATTTAATAATATTAAAAAATGATTATATGAATTAGTATTATTGGTATGTAAATTTATATCAATATAAGGTAAATTTTGAAATTTTAAAAATTCTTTTTCTAATTCAAAGAAATTTAAAATATTTGAAATTTTAAAATTTAAAATATTTTTAGTTTTTCTATTAATTAATAACCCTTTAAATTCTTTTATATTTGGTAATATAAAAATTATTAATTTTTCTAAAAAAAAATACATATTTTGTTTTCTTAAAGTTAATTTACAACCAGTAATATCGCCTTTTTTTATTTTTAAAATAATATTATTTTTTTTTGATTTTGTATTTAAAACTTGTTGATTTATTATTAATCTTAATAATAAAATTATAGAAGTCATTTTTTTTTTTTCCATATTTGAATTTTTTAGACCTATATTTAATATTATTTTATTTATTTTAGGTATATCAAAAATATTAATGATATTTAATTTAGTTATTAAATCATAATTTACATTATGATTAAAATGTTTTTTAATGTGATTCATTTTTATAAAATATATGAAGATAAAGATAAAATTTTAAATTGTTTTTTTTTTCGAAATTCTGAAGTTATAGGTCCTAAAATTCTAGTCCCCATAAGTTTATTTTGATTATTTAATATTACTGCGCAATTATTATCAAATTTAATATAATTACCTATTGTATTTTTAACTGAATATTTTGTTTGAATTATTAAAGCTTTTAATAAATCACCCTTATTTATTTTAATTTTTTTTTTTTTATTTAAACGTAAACTTTTTACAGATATTAAAATTAAATCCCCTATAGTACCAGTTTTTTTTTTATATATTTTTATACATTGTCCAATTTTTACTCCTGTATTATCTTTTATTTTTAATTTTGTTTCTAAATGTATCATTAAAATTGAATTATTTATTAACGAGAGTAGGATTCGAACCTACATCTTTAGGTCATGAGCCTAAAAGTTAACCATTACTCTATCTCGTTTTAAATTAATATATTTTTTTATTAATTATATTATATTATATTAGATAAAAATGAAATATCAAAGAAGGGATTCGAACCCTTAAATTTTACATCCTAAGTGTAACGTGTTTACCAATTCCACTACTTTGATAATATTATTTATTATTTATACCTACTATTGGACTTGAACCAATAACCTTTTTTAATAGGATCAGATTTTAAATCTAACGTGTTTACCAATTTCACCAAGCAGGCTCTTATCAATTAATAAAATATGACATACTTAAAATTACATTTTACTGAATTAAAATACAATATATTTCTTTTAATATTTTCTTTTTTTTTTTTTTATTTTTTTATATGTTCTTTATATTCTGATCAAATAATTTTTTTATTTATAAAACCTTTATTTAAATTAACTAATTTAAAATATTTTATTTATACAGATATTACAGAATTTTTTTTAATTAATTTTTTTTTATCAATTTTCCTTTCTTTTTATGTTTTATTTCCTTTTATATTTATTCAATTTTGGTATTTTTTTTCTAAAGGATTTTTTAAAAAAGAAAATGTAAAAATAATTAAAAATTTATTTTTTTTTTATTTTTTAATTTATTTTTATTTTATTTTATTTTTATAAAAATTATTCCAAATATATGGATTTATTTTTTTAATATAAATTTTTCTAATAATTATATTTTTAATTTTTATTTAGAACCTAAACTTTATAATTATTTTTTATTTATTTTTTCTTCTTATATATATATTTATATTGTTTTTTTATATCCAATAATTATTTATTATTTAATAAATTATAATATAATAAATATAAATATTTTAATTTTTTTTAGAAAATTATTTTATTTTAAATTTATTTTTTTTATTGTAATATTAACAACTTCGGAAATATATAATCAAATTTTATTTTTTTTATTATTTTTAATAATTTTTGAGTTATTTATTTATTTAAATTTATATTATAAAAGATATAAAATATAAAAATTAATTTTTTTTTAATTTTTTTAAAAAATTATTTTCTTTAACAATATTTTTATTTTCAAAATTATTAAAATCTTTTAAAAAAGTTTGATTTATTTCTAAATTTTTAATATATTTAACTGATAAAATTTGTAAAGTAGAACCATTTGTTAATATTATTTGATTTTGATAATTAAAAAATTTATTTTTTTTTTTAAACATTTAATTAATAAATTTTAATCAATTGGCTAGATAACATAATGGTTAATGTAAAGGATTGCAAATCCTTTAATGACGGTTCAATTCCGTCTCTAGCTTAAAAAATAAAAAGGATAGAGTGGGATTTGAACCCACGGTATATTTTTATATATACTTCAGTTTTCAAGACTGATACTTTAAACCACTCAGCCATCTATCCAAATTATATATATATTTTAACGTCTTTTTAATTTTTTAGAACGACAACCATTAAAAGGTAAATTTGTTCGATCAAAAATAAATAATATTTTAATATTTTTTTTTTTTAAATTTTTATTAAAATTATAACGTCCAGCACCTCGTCCTTTTATAAATATTTTTAAAAATCTTATTTTTTTTAAAATAAGAAATTTTCTTATTTTATAGCTAATAATATGTATATTATAAGAAGCATTTTTTTTTAAGTTAGTTTTTTTTTTTAATGATTTACTTGACCATTGTTTATATAATTGACCTTTTTCATTAGTTAAACTAAAGATTGTATTTTTTAATATACAATTTACGTATAAATGTGCAATTAATTTTTTTTTTATAATATTTTTATTCATATAAATTTAAAAAAAATGTTTTAATTTTTTAGAAGTTTTAGCATTTGTATGTGTACGTTGTCCACGTGCAGGTAAACCTAAATTAGTTCTTATTGCTTTATTTCTTTTAATATTTAATAAATTATTAAATTGATCTTTTTTAATTTTTTTTAATATTTGTTCAATTTTTATATTTTTATTTATATAACTTATTAAACGGTTTATTTGATTTTTTTTTAATTGATTAATTGTTGTTTTAGGATTTATTCCAATATTTTTACAAATTTTTTTAGATTGATATTGATGTATACCATATAAAAAAGTTAATGAATATAAAATACTTTTGGAATTAGATATAGCTTTATCAAAAATATATAACATAAATAAATTTTTTATCTATATATAATAATAAAAAAAAAAAAAATGATACAAAAAATAATAAAACCAATAACTCCTTCACAACGTCAAACAGTTTTATTTATAAATAAATTTAGTAAAAAATTAAATATTAAAGAAAGAGGTTATAAATTAATAAAAGGTTTTAAAAGAGCAAATGGTAGAAATAACCAAGGAAAAATTACGGTGAGACATAGAGGAGGTGGTCATAAACGTTTATACCGTAAAATTGAATTCAATAGAACAAATACTAATGGACAAGTTAGTGCTATTACCTATGACCCTAATAGATCAGCAAATATTGCTAAAATTTTTGATAAAAAAGAATTCAGATATTTTTATATATTAGCACCAGAAGGTTTAAAAGAAAATGATTTTATAGAAAGCGGTTCAAAAGCTGAATTAAAAATAGGTAATGCTTTACCACTTGCTAATTTACCTATAGGAAGTATTGTACATAATATAAATTTAAAACCAAATTCGGATGGAAAATTAATTAGGAGTGCGGGTACTTCAGCTCAATTATTACAAAAAACAGATAATAATTATGCAAAAATACGTTTAAATTCTGGAGAATTACGTTTAATTTTATTAAATTGTTATGCCACTTTGGGTATTGTTTCAAATATTAATCATAAAAAAATAAAATTAGGTAAAGCGGGACGAAACCGTTGGTTAAATAGACGACCTCATGTTAGAGGTGTAGCTATGAATCCAGTAGATCACCCTCATGGTGGTGGTGAAGGTAAAACTAGTGGAGGTAGACCTTCTGTATCTCCTCAAGGTAAAATAACAAAAGGTAAACCTACTCGTTCAAAAAAAAAAAAAAAAAAAAATCAATTTATTTTAGAGTTTAGAAAAAAAAAAAATGTCAAGAAATAGTAAAAAATCTCCTTTTTTTAGATATAATTTAAAAAACAATAAAAAAAAATGGATAAAAATTTTTAATAAAAATTTAGTTATAATGCCTAAAGATATAGATTGTATTTTTAATATTTATAATGGAAAAGATTTTATAAAAATTAAAATATTAAAAGATATGATTGGTTATAAATTTGGTGAATTTATTAATACTAGAAAAAGATATATATATAAAAAACAAAAAAAAAAAAAATAAATGGGTCAAAAAATTTTACCAATTAGTTTAAGATTAAAAAATAAAAAAAATTGGCATTCTCAATGGATAACAAATAAAAAAAATTATTCTGAAATATTACATTTTGATTTAGAAGTAAGAAAATATATAGAAATTCTTTTTAATAATAAAAAAAAAGCTATATCACAAATCAAAATAAATAAAATTTCAAAAAATTTATATATTTATATTTTTGTAAATAATTATTTTAAAAGAGAAATTTTTAAAAAAAAAATTAAAATTTTACATTATTTAAATTCTTTTTTTAAAAATCAATATAATATTAAAATATTTATATTAAAAACTCATTTTAAATTAAATAAATATCAAAAAAATTTACGTATTTTAATTAAATATTTAAAAAAAAAAAGAAAAAAAAATAAAAAATTATTAAAATTTTTAGGTATTTGTCAAATAGCTTTTAGTATAGGTAAAATGAATATGATTTCAAAATATATTTGTAGAACTATAAAAAAAAAAAAAATACATAAAGGTTATTTAAATTTTATAAATAAAATTTTGAAAGAATTTTATAAAATGAATCCAAAAATTTTAGGTTATAAATTACAAGTAAAAGGTAGATTAAATAAATCTAAACGTAAAAGAAAATTTATTTATCAAGAAGGTCAAATACCTTTAAGTACTTTAAAAAAAAATGTACAATATACTTTTGATGAATTTATAACTAAATCTGGAGTCTGTAGTATTAAAATATGGTTTTATTTAAAAAATATAAAAAAAAAAAAATTATTTAAAAATAAAAAAATTAATGGAGTTTTTGATAAAACAGATAAATTTTCAATTTTTAAAAATAAAAAACGAAAATTTATAAAAAATTATTATCGAAGACTTTTTTAATAATTTTTTATAAAAATAAAAATTTATTATGTTATTTCCAAACAAAACAAAATACAAAAAACAATTTAAAGGTATTCTTAAAGGCAAAACAATTAGAGGTAGTAAAATAATTTATGGTAAATATGCTTTAAAAGCTTTAAAAGAAAAAAGAATTACTTCAAAACAAATTGAAGCAACTAGGAGAGCTATAGTTCGTAAAATGAAACGTTTAGGTTATTTATGGATTCGAATTTTTCCTGATACACCCGTTAGTTCTAAGCCCAATGAAAATAGAATGGGTAAAGGGAAAGGTACAATTTCTTTTTGGGTTTCAAAGGTTAAAAGTGGTCAAATATTATTTGAAATAAGTGGTATTTCATTTGAAAATGCTAAAAAAGTTTTCCAAGCGGGAGCAAATAAATTGCCTATTCCAACTAAATTTATTTATAAATAAAATAATAGTTATAAAAAGAAAAGGGCTTATAGTTTAATTGGTTAGAGCATACCGCTCATAACGGTAGAGTTGTAGGTTCAAATCCTACTAAGCCTATTTCTTCTAAAGATATTATGCAAATATTAAAAAAAAAAATATATATTAACTACCAACAATTTTGATAATTATTCAATTTATTTAAAAAATTTAAATTTTTTAAATAAATTAAAAAAAAAAAAAAAAAATAATATTAAAAGATACTTATATATTAAATTTAAAAAATTTTTATTTATTAAATTTAAATTCTAAGGAAAATTTATTTCCTGAAAAAATAAATTTAAATAATTTTAATTATAATAATAAAAATTTATTATATATAATAACTAAAAATAAAAATGAAAAAGATTTATTAATAAATTTTAATTTTATTACTTATTTTATTTTAAATTTATATACA